AGCACGAGGCGCTTTGGCTAACCTTGGCCATCTATGGCGCCGGCGCGGCATCGCTCTCTCCCTGAAGTGTAGAGTTTATCATGCAGCCGCACCTTCGTCCCTACTGTACGGTTGTGAAACCTGACCCATTAGATCAGCCGACATAAAGAGGCTAGTTAAGTTCGACCGCCAGTTTCTTCGCAGTTTGACTCACATCTGGTGGGAACACGGTGCGAGCAATCAGCGTGTTCGATGCCTTGTTTATGGCGCAGGAAGAAGAAGCTAACCGCCCGGCACTGTTATTTCACGCACCAGGCTCCGATGGCTGGACCACCGTGTTGCGCATGCCAGCCCATCGACTCCCGCGACGTGCGTTGTTTGCGCGCGGGGGTGCGGAAGGAAGAAGAGGTGGGGGTGGCCAAGCGATGAATTGGTCAAGAGAAAGGCACGCCCTTAGTTCGAGGTTGGCCTCAGTTGACTATCGCGATGAGACTAGAACTTAACATGGTGCCATGGTTGTGTGCCTCAGTGATCTATTGAGCTATGCTGGGTGGTGCTTTCTTCGCACCTTCAGATGCACTCATACCAGATTGGTCAATGGTTAGAGGCCAGACAAACTCAGTCTGCTGGCCCTCCAGGTTGGGGGTTAGAGTGAGGGTGGCTCCTTATTCCATACAACGGGCTCTCTGTAGTCCAGTGCCAAAACCCCGCTGCGTTGCGGTCAGGCTTTTGAACCAAATGCTTTGGTTGAGAACCCTAATCGTTTTCCTATCTAGGCCTGGGCAACCTGACAGTATCCATGACCTTTCCTTCTAACAATCTCTTGATGCTCTGGACGTTGCAGAGGATAATAAACCACGCGCTATTTTCATCCTTAGCGTCCCGTTCCAATGTCATTTTTATCCCCCCGTTTTCAATCACTTAATTCTTAGCTCTCCCAAACCTTGCTTCGATAGTCGCTTGTCTTCTAGTTTCAACACACACGCAGTCGCAGGGCGTCGCTCCAATCCAGTCTACAAGTCCATGTTCGACTAAGCGGACAACGTCAGTTCATCCGTTTCCCTTTGAAGTCCTCTCGTCTCGTTAAGACTGGCATGACTCAATGTGTGCACTTCTCCAAAGATTGGCTAACACGTAGCACTTGCCCGAACACTCGAGACCCTATCGATCGATATTTGCCGTTTTTCGGAAACCCGCCTGCAAGATTCGAGCGTGGTGTTTACGCTGCGATCCCCCACATGCAACAATAGCGACACATTCTCATTGCGCCTGTCTGGCGATGATACAGCTTCAAATGCAGGTCAAGCTGGCGTCGGCATTGTTTTGTGTCCCCGGGCTGAAGCTTCCCTAAACGACTTGATCCCTGTCAACAGCTGGATGTGCACCGTTAGGTTGGCTGGCTCGTTCCAGGCTTCGAAGTCGCGCAGGGCAAACGGTGCCTGTTTGTCATTGCTGCTTACGCCCCCAAAAACAAAAGCCCTGATTTGGTGAAAGATGATTTCTATCACCAACTTAACCAGCTTCTTCGTTACAGAAGAAGCACGGATACTGTGGTGCTTGCTGGTGATCTAAACGCCGAAGTCGAAAAATTGTCCTCTGATGAGCTTCATCTGGGCAGCCAGCATGGTGTAGGCTCCCGTAATGATAACGGAGAGCGGTTGCTACACCTGTGTGAAGGTGCTCGTCTCTTTCTCGCGAGCACTAACTTTCGACATAACACCCGCAGAAGAGTGACTTGACACCCACCAGCCTCGTGGCCAGCCATGGACCTACATCGATCACATCGCGATTAGTTACCAGTGGAGAGGCTGTGTCCAAAACTGTCGCTCGATTTGGAGCACCAGCGTGGACTCCGATCACGCTGTCGTGTGTGCCGACCTGCGAACGCGTTTCGGCGGACGTCCGCACCGTCGCTCTGAGCGCATTGACACCAGTCAGCTGGCGAAGCCAGGTGTTCTGAATGCGTATCAAACTACGCTGGCATCTGGGCTGAGTAAGCCTCCACTGAACACCGTCGAAGATCGCTGGTCGCATATTCGTCAAGTTACTATCAGCAGGCATGTCTTCATGTGGCAAATCAAATCGGCAAACTGGACATTGGGTCTCTACAAATTCTCTGGAACTAATGGATGCTCGCCGACGTATTCCGGCTGGGATCGAATACAATGAGGCTCGCAAAAATCTCAGGCCAAAACTGCGTGCTAGGCTGAAGAAAGACCGCGAAGCCTAGTGGTCTCATCGTGCCTCGGAGATGGAAACAGCCGCTACCATTGGTAATCATCGTAAGTTATTCCGTCAGATACGGGGAACCGACAGCAGGAGACTTGGTGTTATCGAGACCATACGCGAGGAGAGTGTGCAGCCGATCCACAGCTTGTCAACACGCTTGGAGCATTGGCCCGAAGACTTTGCAAGGCAATTTAACCAACCTGGGTTATCGGTTTCTTTTTCTGGCATTGAGAGCCTTTCTCCCTGGGCCGTCTCCTTGGATCCGCCCACAAGCGCAGAAGTCCAACGTGAGATCAGACTGTTGAAATTGTATAAGGCAGCAGGGGCAGATTGAATTCCCCCAGCCCTTTTCAAATTCGGGGGGCCTGCTCTAGTTGATGACTTACACGAGTTGCTAGTGAAACTTTGGGAGCAAGAGACTGTCCCGACAGACTGGAGCCGCTCTGTCATAGACTAATTTTCAAGGGAGGCTCCAGTTCGGAATGCGGCAACCATAAAGGGATCAGTCTGCTCTCAATCGCCTCTAAATTGCTTGCCTCTATCGTTCTCCACAGACTGACTGGCGCTCGTGAAGGTCAGATCCCTGAAGAACAAGCCGGATTTCGTCGAAATCGAGGCTGCATCGACCACATCTTCACTTTGTGTCAATTGTTGGAGCACCGCCTTGTTTATTGGCGACTCATCGTTGTCATGTTTCTCGACATCAAAGGTGCTTTCGATTCGCTGGACCGATGTGCCCTTTGGGACTGTCTGCTGAGGAAAGGTGTGCCTGGAAAAGATGTAAACATTATCGAAGCGTTGTACGCGCATAGTCCGGGCAGATTGAGGGTGTATGGCAAACTGTCACCGCCCTTCAATATCACCAGCAGTGTGAGGCAAGGTTGCCCACTGTCACCTTTCTTCTGTAACTTCACTATTGATGAAGCCATGGAAGCAGCATTCGCTGGAAACGACGTAGAAGGTGTGGAGCTACTTGCTGGTGAGCAAGTTTTTGACTTGGAGTACGCGTACGACATTGCCGTCATATGTGACAGCGCCCAAAGCTGCCAGACTGCACTGGACCGATTCGCACTGACTGTCTATCGTTTTGGGCTATGCTTTCCCCCATCCAAATGCAAAGTCGTTCTCCAAGATTTGCAGGGACCCACCCCTGCGTTAACGCTTTGTGGTGATCAGGTAGAAGTCGTTCAGGAATTCAAATACCTGGGCAGCTATATTAACGCCCTTGGGACCGAAGCTAATATTACGAACCGTATAGCAAAAGTTCGAGGTGCTTTCGCCAATCTCCGCCACCTGTGACGCAGACGCACTGGAGGGCAGAGTTTACAATGCAGCCGTGCTTTCAGCCCACCTATATGGTTGTGAAACCTGGCCCATCAGGTCGACAGACATAAAGAGACTCGTCATATTCGATCATCGCTGCCTTCGCAGCTTAGCTCATGTGTGGTGGGAGCACCGTGTGAGCGATGAGCGTGTTCGGCGTCTCGTATTCGGTGCAGGAAGAGCGAGTGAACCGCTCAGCACCATTATATCATGCACCAGGCTCCGATGGCTGGGCCACGTGTTGCGCATGCCAGCACACCGACTCCCGCGACGTGCATTGTTTGCGCGTTGTGGGTGCGGTTGGAAGAGGAGGAGGGGAGGCCAAGTGATTACTTGGTCGAGAGAAATGAAAACCCTTACTTCGAAGTTGGCATCGGTTGGTGCATCCCGACTGCCGACCTGGGGTCCTAAGGAAGCTGAACACATTTGGTTGGACACATTTGCTGATATGGCGAAGAGCCGACCCCAATGGTGTTTGGGTTGTGGGTTCCTTTGTCCATCCCACTCCTGCTTAGCCTCCTCCTCCAAGCACAACCTTATTCGTTAGGCATAATATAACTCTTTTTGCGGCACGATAGTCAGCTGCTAGCTCCACGGAACGATGCCCATCCGTTACTGGGGACTCAGCCTGCGTGCCTCTGTTGTTATTTTATTCTTCTTGTCTTTTATGTTGCGACACAATAGCTGAGATGCTTTCCACCTGCAGCTAACGTGTATACTGATGATGATGATGGCCTCAGTTGGAGCGTCTCGGCTCCCTGGTTGGAACCGAAGGACGGTGAACAAGTTTGGCTGGATGCACTTGTTGACATGGCTAGGAGGCGACCTCAAGGGCGTTTGTGCTGTGAGATTTTTTGTCCCTGCCGCTTAGCCTCCCCACCAACTACCATCTCATTGATTAGGCATAATATAACTCCTTTTTTGCGGCACAGTAGCCGGCTGTTAGCTCTCCGGAACTATATCTATCCTTTACTGCTGACTCAGCCGCCATGCCTCTGTTTCATGTATTTTGCCTTTCTTTTTATTGCGGCATGATATCTGAGGTGTTTTCCACCTTTAGCTAACGAGCAGAATGCTGATGATCAACTATGTGGGAGACTACTTGCAACGGACGAGTAGACTAAATGCCCCAAAGGCAGCGTCGTCGACTAGGTTTGTTCAACAGTACACCTCAATGCTTTCTACATATTTCTCTCTAAAATAACCTAATGGGGGCAGCGGTCACAAATACACCTGTGGGAGATATAAGTCGCGTCACATGAAGATCCCAGTGTGGCACTGGGTCACTGTCCCATTGAGCGTCATTTTCAATCTGGCAGTCATTACCCGGTGAGAAGTAAGATCACGTGACATAGACGTGTCACTGTTTCGGCATTGTGTGGCTCCGTGGTAGCAGGCACGGAGGACACGGAGAGATCACTTTTCACCTTTCTTCAATGGTAAGCTATTTCTCTTCATTTCTAACACAGATGGTTGCACCTGGTAGTTTCATGGGCTCCGTTCACACTGAAACGGGACAACAATCTGATTCTCTTTACCGTGGACGAAAATGGCATTCTGCAGAAATGGCATCACTTCAAGTCGATGACATGCCTCGTAGAGGAAATCCATCTGCAATCGAGTTTTCTCACAGAGGGGCCTGCAGATAACGAAGTGCTAAAGATGGAACTGCTGGAAAGCCATGAGCTGGATAAGGTGGGTTTTGGTGCATTGTATTGAGGACGGATCAATATCCGCAACAGTCAAGAAGTGGACAGTGAGTTGGAGGACGTCCTTTCTAGTATGAGTTACGTCTAGAGCAGTAAACCAGGGTACTTGTAGAAAGTGGTCCGTTTGGAGTGGCGTGCGCAATGTTTTATGTTACCTGAACATCTAAAGCCTGAGCTTGGGCATGTATCCTTTCATACTCAATTGCACACACAGAAATATGCATAAGCTCGCGATTTCAGTGTCGGGATGCCACGACGTTGTGCACACTACGATTAACAGTAGTTACTAGAACTTCTAATGTTTGTCCCTAACAGCAAACCTGATATGGAGTAATATGCACTTAGTGAAAGCAACATCTAGTGAGTAGTTGCTGCAGCTTCAATCCAAGTGATGGAAATGATCGTGTTTTAATTCAAATTTGATGGCAGTCCAAATTGAGATTATGCGTGATAAACCATTTGCACAGTGACAAGTTTAAGATGCAATAGTGAAGTAGTTTTCGTTAATGTTTTACTAGTGAGATAGAAGCAAATATTTACAAGACCAAAAGAATGGATATGCAAACGAAAATTAAACTCAAAACGTTCTAACGTGGAACGGGAATTATCAGTGATTTAGTTATAGCAGTTTGTCGCACTGTTGTGCAGAGTTTAACATTAAAATGGTAGTCAAATAGTTTGTTGAATGTCGTGATATTTGGTGTGTATGCCATTTCATTCCAACAGGGATAGATCATGAGAGCGTAAAAATATGTTCTGCAATCAAGACGGGAGTGCGTTACTAGTAGTATCTGGTGGTGACTCCGGTATTTTTGTAAAGAGCTAGGGTAAGCAATGATGTACATGGATGACTGCTCTCAGTTAGTGTCCAAGATGTCAGGATGAGATCACCACGAAACCGTCGGTAATCTAAGGTGAATACACCGAGTAAACGAAGGCACATTTTGTATCTGAAACCGGACAGTCTATGTGTTGCCATGGTGGCTCTTTTTGAGCTGTTCCAAAAGACGTATGTCTTGTTTTGACCATGGACGCCAAGCCTGAACAACATGTTCAGCGTGGGGACGAATATACATGATAATCAACATTGGTACTAGCCGTCACTCAAAGGTGCCGAAAGATCACCTCAACAGTCTCACCTTCAAGTTCCCCACATTCGCTGCTTTCTAACATTGGAGCGAATTGCCTTTACTTTCTTGTACGATAATAACTAAATCTCTTTCATTGGTCACGTGTTGCAGGATGTGTTGTCCCAAGGGATGTGTTGAGGAAGCTGTTGCGCACCGTCAGGAGCTGGCACTTTGCAGGGTTCAGTGGGAGTTGGTTCATTTCGGTTAATTCATTAATCCGGTCCAGATCGTTATGGAGATAAGCACGGTCGGACGCTGAGCGAGTTGTTCTCCATATGTAGCATCATCTGCAAGTAGTTGCATCAGGGATAGAATGTTTGCTGGAAGATCATTTATGTAAACTAAAAGCAGTAGAGGGCCGAGGAGGGTCCTTGCGGTACACCACTCAATACGCACAGGCTTTTAGAGCGACAGTTGGTTATGCTTTGATTCTTCTGTTGTGTAAGCAATCTTCCGGCTAGGTCAGAAGGGAACATGTGGTAGCACAGGCAGCACGTTTTTAAAGGACGAAGTGATTGACCCTGTCGCATGCCTTCGAAAAGTCCGAGTAAATAACGTCTATGGGGACTCTTTCTTCAGCCAACCTGGTCCAGGAGTCCCGAGAAAGAAGCAGGTTGGTGAGGTAACGTCATCTGCACCTAAAGCCATGTGGGGCTTTGAAAAGTATTGGTAGACTTACAAAATATCGCGTCAGTTTATGGACTAAAATAGGAAGAAGATAATAGATTTGTACTTACCAGGATCCTATCACTTACCTCAGTTGTATATCGGAGGGATGATCCCATGTTTCCATTTAGATGGCAGTGTATGAGAATCAAGAAGACAGTGGAAAAAGGCTACAAAATATACTGCTACGGTGGAGGCAAATGTTTTAAGAAACTTTGAGCAGGTCTTGTCAATTCCCTGGGCACTGTTCTCTCGGATGGACTGTACTTTGTATACGACAGCTGCTGGGGTAACGGTGACACTGGGTAAGCCTGCGACATTTGCTGGGAGCTGATAGGGCTAAGGTTCCATGATATTTATAGCCATTTAACCAAACTACAGAAGTAATGCGTTCGCAGTATTCACAGCAGTAGTCGTCAGGACACTGTCTGTCTAGGGTTGTGGCGTTATTCCATTGCACGGTTAACCTTTCTTTCGCCATTTACGTACTTGTATAGCAGTTTGGTGCTACTGGCAAACTTGAGTACCATGGTCTCCCCCTCTTTGTACTAGTCTGCTCTAACAGGTCACGTGCAGTAGTTGCTGATTGTTTTGTAAAGCTGCCATGGAGCGTCATATGGGCTAGGCGTATGTTGCCTCCAAATATCATCTTTCCTAATGATCGGTTTACGTGTTGTAGTTCGAATCCAAGTGTTGGTCTGGTGCCATACTTGTTATGGTACAACTTTTGAGGCTTCTCGTATGACCCAGTTAATGTTAACTTCTAATTCATTCCACGCGTCGTTCGCTGAACTGTATGGCTGGAAGTCCCGATCAACGGCAGTCGATAAGTTGTGAAGCCTAGAATGGTTAGTTATAGTTCGTAGACTTTCTCGTTCCTTATTGATAGTACTGGCATAACAAACATAACCAAAAGATAGCACTGAATGGTTGCTACTACCTACTAAAGGGTCATGCCCGACTGACCCCCTCTGCAGCCCCTTATTGGTCATGATTACGTCCAGAATTGATGGCTCGTTTGGCTAGCGGTGCCTGATTGGTCAATGTACATGTTTATAAAAACTATCATATCCATGAACTAAATAAGTTTTGATTTGAATGGTTGATCACTGGAAGACATTGATACATTTGAAAGTACATTAAACTCACTCATTGTAAGGTAGTGGGAGTACTTCTTTGAGACAGCATAATGGAGGGAGTTTAACCGGGTGTCACCACACACTACGGAGGAGTTTACTGGTCTGTAGACAGTTACTAAGAGGAAAGCGCCACACATCTTCTGAGGTTCCCCAGCTTGGCCTGCTAGCCTTAGTCAGAAAAATAATGCGTCAGGAATATTGAAAATTTTTAGTAACGGCCTCACATTTTTGCTGATCTAGGTAGAGGAGAGCAACACCGCCACCGCGAGGTGGACGATCATTATGATTGATTGACATTTCACTTAGTCCAATTTCCGGATCTACTATGTCGTTTGAAAGCCAAGTTGCAGTCACTATTATGATGTCCCCTTTTCTGGTTTCATATCGATGGCGCAGTTCCGGGAGCTTGTAATACAGCCCTTGAGCGTTCCTGTAGCAGCATTGTATTGGTTGACGTGTTCGGAGCTCGGTCCACTTTGTTTGAATTGCACAGGTAGTGCCGGTCTGCTGACTTTTCTTAAACGGGTGTTTGTATGTTTGACTGATCTCGGATATAAACAACTGAATCTGACTCATCTGTATCTTGGGTCTGTGTTGTTTGACAGAACTGTCATAACCGTATTTCTGGTGGCCCACATTTTCCGTTTGTCTGCCACACTTGGATCGATATTAATACCAGCTCGAGCATAGTCTAGGTAACTTTTAAACTTTTAGTCCGCTGTCGCGGTAGGTTGTGGAGACAACTAGACAGGTGACGTCAAGAGCCACAGAGCTTTGCACGTTATAGAGCTCTGTGATGTACATCTATTCTTTAATATCGTGCTTTTTTGTTCACCTTTATCATCATGCGTCAATTCTGGCACACCGTGAACCAGTACCACTATATCTCATTTCGACATGACGCGCTGGGGTCCAATTTCCGCTGCGACTTTTCTGCCCATGATATGTCCGGAAAAATTCGGGCAATGAAAGAGGAGTTCAAAAGAATGAGGCATTCTAAGAGGACCTCTTCCAGTTCCTATGTGTTGACAAATTCTGATTGCAGTAACTGAGGTCCTATGTGCTGAGGTGATGGTTTTCGTGGAACGAGTGTAAGACAAGATGGGAGAAGGTTCACTCGGAGTGTGCAACTTACCTCAGCCCAGCGGTTTTGCTCTTCGGCTTGTCTGCATTTTAAGGATTCGCTAGTGGGTTCTCGTACGTTTGAACACAAAAATTAGCGAATTTTGGTTGCGCATGAAGGTCTTGTTCTGAGGTTCCTTGTGAATAGATACACGCTTGTGCGTAACGACCTCAGTTGCATATTAACGGAGGTGTTGGCGTGATGGTGAATAACTCTTCATGCACTGCGGTATGTCAAAAGAAGTTGGAGAATTTTCCAACGGTCTGTCGTCACTGCAGTCGGTCCCCAATCGTTTTCGTTTTTCGCCCGACTGTGCAACATTTTTTGCTAGATAGTATTTGTATGTTAACAGGTCAAGGTTAAGGCTACGTAACAAACAAATTCGAAACCCGAGTTCAAAGATTTCCGCACCCAGGTCAACGACTATACAATTCCTCGGCCAAGTTGTCCCCTTGAGCAACAGAATTAATCTGAACGGCAAAGGAGTTGCGCTGAGGGGTACACAAGATGAGTTACTCAATTAATTGAGACGTGTGTGCGCCGCTCACTTGTGCAGGTGTGTAGGTGTGCGTGTATAGCCCGGTGCCTTCAACCAATAGGACCTCAGACGCACTAAATTATAGGGGTGCAGGTGGGACGCTGCAGCTCCTACCAGGGACAGTGTCGGTGGCCGATGCACCATGTGGGCCTTTGTTGCTCTGTCAAAGGAAGCGACTCCCACCAATTAGAATGAGAGTAGGGATTTGGACGACGATTGGGTTGGTATAACGAGCCACAGCCAAATAAGTTTGTCGTGTGATTTTGAACATGCATTTCACCTAAACGCAATGGTTGGCTTGTATGTTCGGCACGCGAGAAAGGTGAAGAACGCCATACTGAAAGCGTACGAGAAAGGAGACGATTGGAAGCAGGTCGCTTGCACACTGAA